GAGTGTCGGCAGTAAAGTTGCAAAAGCGAAGAAAAATGGGATTTGTTTTCATTATTACCAAAGTAGAGCTATTCACGTGTCACAAGAAAAACAATGTAATACTTGTTTTCTGTGCTTAAAAACACTGCTGCAGGGCATTCAAAGATAGAGCCTGATGAGTGGGCTGAGTTACAAATACACAACAATGGCAGTACAGATGACAAGTTTTGCAGTTTTACTACTGTTTACATCACAGCCACCATCTATGGCTGTGATTGTGATTACCTCAGGATTGGTGGGGTTGCTCTGACTCTGAGTTGAGGAGACGTTCCAGATGAAAATTCCAACTGGGAGCTCGGAAATGTCAACTTCAAACTTGATCGCTCAATAATACTCATATTATTCTTACTCTTTTGATGAAGCTCATTAGCAATGTGAAATGTAATAACAGTGGCTATTTTCAAGCTGGCCACTAACTCTGGTAAGAAAATGTCTCATTTTGACACAAACTGAACATAACTTGTCCGCTTTTGAAGCTGTTACTTCTCTACTTTCCCAGACTTGACAGATCTCACATTCAGTGGTTTGTCGCTAAAACAACAAACCCCCACATGTACCTGATGTACTGACCTGGTGCACACATGTCATAGATCTTCTTCAGCAGCGTCAGGCACTTCTCTTCCGGCCAGTCATGAATGATTCTGGCCAGAACGTACAAGTCCGCAGTGGGGATTTCACCAGTGAAGAAATCTCCTGCACGTAGAGGGCGCAGCATTAATAAAGACGTATTTACCAGTTTATTGGTTGCAGTGAAGAAAAAAATGCTTTTTTCCTAACTAATCTCATAGGGGACCTATTATATCTACTTCCATGCTTCTATGCATGATTCCGATTTCAAAATAACCAAAACAAGATGTTTAAGCTCCTTTCCTCCTCTTTTTTAACCCAGCTTTTTTCTGATTGGCTGCACCTTGCAAACAGGAGGTTTTGAACATTTTTCTATGCTCTTTCTAGGGAAGTACTTTCTATCTAACATTCACACACATTCATACTCAGACACAAGCATTGGAGAGCAACCTGGGGCTAGTAGCAGAGGATCATGAACCTACCAACCTTCTGATTAGTAGGTGACTTACAGCCACCCCCATGTATGTTTTTTCTTAAACATTTAAGGTGTTTTAAATCATCCATAGCAGACTTACCGGACTGAAATACAATGGCATCATTCTCCTGAGAGAAATGCTTCTGAGCCACTTCCACGACCTGCTGGAGATCAAACACTGTGACGGTGGATGAGGGATACGCCTTTGCCATCTCGCGGGCCAAAGCACCAGTGCAACCTAGCAATCGTTCATAAACAGCGATCAACATTTATCAGAGGGAAACGATACAAGGAAGCCACGTTGGTCCTGTTCGGAACAACAATCCTTCATTTTTGGTATACATGAATTTGAGGTATCTACACCAATCAGGTATAACGTTACGAGCACTGACAGGTGAAGTGAATAACACTGATTATCTCCTCTTCATGGCACCTATTTGGGCGAGATATATCTGGGACCAAGTGGACATTTGTCCTCAAAGTTGATGTGTTAGAAGCAGGAAAAATGGGTGAGTTTAAGGAGATGAACGAGTCTGACGAGGACCAAATTGTGATAGCTAGACGACTGGGTCAGAGCATCTCCAAAACTGCAGCTCTTGTGGGGTGTTCCCAGTCTGCAGAGGTCGGTATCTGTCAAAAGTGGTCGAACGAAGGAGCAGTGGTGAGCCAGCAACAGGATGATGAGTGACCAAGAGACACTGATGCATGTGGGGGAGTGAAGGCTGGATAATGTGCCCTGCCACAAAGCAAAAATGGTTCAAGGAGCACAACAACGAGACTGAGATGTTAACTTGTCTCCGGTTTCCCCAGAGCTCAATCCAATTGAGCATGTGTGGGATGTACTGGACAAACAGCCCCGATTCATGGAGGCCCCACCTCGCAACTTAAACGACTTAAAGGTGGACATAATGTTATGTCTGATAGGTATGTGTATATCTATTTGCCTTCTTGGGAAGAATAACAGGCCCTCTCAGATGTCAGAGCATCCCTGACAGCCTCTTACCTCCAAGATCTACTACGTTCTGGAAGCCGGAGAGATTGAACGCTGTCACAACGTCATGTCCATCCAGAACCCATGACGAGTTCATCAGACCCATGAATTTCAGCATGTCCTCTTCTGATCTGTGCGGTACAGTTTAGGTTCATATACTGAATCCTAACAAGCTCAAAGCCACACTTGAAGCAGCGGGATCAACACCAACCTGTAAATGGCTTGGAAGACCTCCTCTGCTGGAAGGCCGAATGTCTTTTCATTCTGATTCTTCCCCTCCCTGCATGATGACAGAGGATAAGGAACAATTCTTTGTGCTCATGAAAACAACACAAAGCGAAAGAGAATGGTTGCTTTACGTCTGCAAATATTTCTAAAAGCCCTGTTAAATCAGCTCGTTTTGTGTGGTATTTTAGCCTGATGTGGTCCCATGTGAATACACAGACCTGACAGCATCCACCAAGTTGTTCCACAGTGGGTAGATGGTTTGGGATTGGTAGACGATCATGTCATGGAGAGATTTGGCGCTGCCTTTGGCCAGATAAAGATTTGCCACGTCGGTGCTGCTGTACAAAGCTGTTTTAATAGAAGAGAAAGAGCAATAAATTAAAATGAAAGCCTTAGAAGAGCAGCTAAATGTAACTGTTACACAATTACATACAATTTAATTATACCATTTTTTAATTATAATATTATTACCTGATGTAGCTTAAATTTGACATGTTGGCTTTTTGGAATGATCACACTGGAGATCATTTTCATGCCCAGGGAGAAACCATCATATTTTTGTAGTTTCCTTCTCTCTGTACATCAAAAACTACTTTCGGTCACCACAGCGGGTAGCTCTACAGATTTCCACCCCTTGTGCCCTTCCTGACACAACCCCGAGGGGTTTGCATCTCCTCCCAGAAACAAATCAAAGATCTTTTTCTTGCTACACTATACCCGCCTCCTCCTATTCCTCACCTGTTCCATCTGTCTTCTCAACCTCCAGGATCTCAATGCCCACCAGTGCGTCCAGCAGCCTCTCCATCCCATCCAAGCTGGTGCCCAGCTCCTGAGCAACATGCTGGGCACTCAAAGGCTCCTGGGACCTGAGCAGCAGGTCAAATACTCCAAGCTCACAGGCTGAAAATATCACCTGCGGAAAGACCTGTCAAGTTAACAACTTTGCACTGGTAGGCAGACTTTCAGTTAAAAAACTATGACTATAGGCAGATCCACCACCTCAGTCCAGTTTGTAATATTTCAACAGTTCCTGCATATAGTGGAGAAAATCTGAATCGACACACATTAAACCAGACTTACACTTCCCGAAGATAAACCGTGAAATGTTTACCTTGGACACTCTGAAGCCGTTAAAATACTCCAGAAGTTTGAACGGGTAATCCAGCTCACTCTGGGACATATGCTCTGCCATTACTGCGCTCCTGGTGGGGAAACATACCGACACAACGCCCTCACAGCCGGAGGAAAAACTCGCGCTTAACGTGGACAAACACTCTCCACGGGATCACCACTTACCGTCCGGAAAGCAGCCAGAAGGATCCGAGTCTGGTGAAGGTTGGTTTTAGAGGGTGTAAGTGCAGCACGGTTAGTTTGGGTTTTAGATAAAACAGCCAAAATGTCGGCGGTGTGTGATGGAGCTGCTGCTGGGAAATGGTCGGCAGAGAATCAGCTAAGATGCATCCGTGATCCGTGATCTTGCTGAAAGCATTAGGAGAAACCCGCTTTGGTTTTACACAACGGCGACAGTGCATGAGCCACAACAGCCAACACCAAACTCACACTCACTCACACACGTTGTGATGAAGTTCCCGAATCAATCAGCGGCGGAGGGAGGCGCAGTTGAGTTGTTGATGTCAGAGATTTACGCTCCACGTGAATGAATAAATGCAGCTCTGAAATATGGATTAATGTTTATTATTGGTATTACATGTACCTAAAATGTTCCAGTGTCTCTGGATATGACAGCGAACCCGGGAGAAATTAATTAGCAAGCACAAATAATATTTACTCATTCTTTGTGGCTATGAAGGACAAGAGGGGGGACAAAGTGTTACCTTGTTACAACCAGGCTGTCACAAAAACACAACACTTGTTCCGATTTCTTGTCTTGAACCTATGAAAACTCACTAATTGTCAAGATGTCGAAATCTTTGACCTGTAAATTTGCAATTTTGTACATTTATATACAACATAATACAACGTCATACAATATAAACAATTTTAATATTACATATTCTGTATATATTACCACTGTGACAGTGTTGCAACTACTTGCACCTTAAATTCTTACTACACCCACACATAAGCTACATAAGCACTTGTTTACTTTATTATTTTCTGTGCTCAGAGTTAAGTCTATTCTTTATTTTAGTTATTTGTTTATTTAATGTGAAGGGAACCTGCAGAGTAAGAATTTAATTGCTCTGCGTATCCACTTGTGTTTTGTGGTGTATATGACAATAAACTTCTTGAATGTTGAATAAAAAATTCAGTTTGACAGGTTTTTGGTAAAAACAAGGTGATTCCAAAAGAGCTATCAGCTGTAACCTTGGCATGTCTCAGCATGACGTGCAATGTGTCCTTAAGAAATAAATTAAAATAAAGAAGTAGAGGAGAAAAGACGTGGCAGACCTAAAAATGATCTTTGACAAACGGACAGTATCTTAAAGTCTGTAAGAAACTGGAAAAATCATGATAGGTGCATCTGGACCGTTAGATGATCAATCAGCTGTTTGCTAAAGACAATCAGAAATATTCTCTATGGAGGGGTTAATGTCAGGAAGGCGTTTTTAGAGAAGGGAAACAGGAAGAAAAGGCTGAAGTAGAGGAAATTACACAAGAAGTGGAGTGAAAATCACTAAAAACACTCATTCATGGATTGGCCTCCCCAGAGCCTGGACCTCAACATTATTGAAGCAGTGTGGGATCAGCTTGATAGAGATCAGAACGATATGCATCCAACATCCAAAGAAGAGCTTTGAAAGTCCTTCAAAAAGCCTGGAGAATTATTCCTGACCATTCCTATTCCTGCTTAATGAAATCTCAAGAAAGCTTGTCTACGAGATTTCAGCCTCTGTTGAAGGAAAAAGGTCCTCATGCAAAACAGACTTTCAAAGCTCATTAGAACTGTACAAACTGTTTTTCCTCCGATACAGGATCCAAAGGATGTTTCAAAACTTTTGCTCAGTACTGCAAATGTTTGCATACACAAGACTATTAATCCAGTATGTTTATATATGCGTAGATTTCCAGTATGTGCAGAGGGTGCAGCAATGGGAGGCCGAATTGCAGCTTTTGCAAAGATTTGCATGTTATAAACGTTGATGCTAATGTACCAGCGAGCTACAGTATCCAAATATTAGTGTTGTTAACCCAAGTCATGTTTCAGTTTTATGCAAACACGTTTTAACTACTTAGGATATCTTATGTATGGGTTGTCTTACGCAAGCAAATCAAACCTGTCCTGATGAGGCTGAGTGATTCATTCAAATCCTATGAAGTAAAAAATATTCTGCTATTTGCTCATTATTAACGTCACCCTAAGTATTTCCTATAACATAGATTTTTAAAAATTATTGCAGTGTCGAACAGTAAGTTTAATTCCTAGTTAAACACAAAGGTTTTTACTCTTAAACTAGAGGCAGCTTCACATTTTGTCAAACGCTTAACACATTTTTTTTTCTTCTTAGTTACATTACAGAACTTCTAATTACTGCATGCGTGTGCCACCCAGCATGACTGTTCCCCCACCATCGCTGTCTGAAGAAAGCAAACAGGACTGATGGAAAGAGAGTGATAAAACACAGGAAAACTGTGTTCCTGCTAGCGATCCAATCACGCATCTCAAATAAATTCCAGACATCTTCAATTATTAACCAAATTGATTTATTATGCATGAACAAATCCCTTCCTGCTTCTGTCACGCAGACACGCACACACACACGCCCAACATTTAAATACATGATGTGGTGGGAATTCAGCATAGCTCACTTTGTTGTTGCACATGCTTTAATAAAATGATAGATATATTTACAGGATAAGCAACAGCTCTGAAAAAAAATTTCTGCAATAACGGCTCCCGGTCCCACCCTGCAGCACACTGCAATGCTCCTTGTAGTTTGTTTTCCCCCCGTTTGGAAATTCATCCACATTTAAAAAGAAGTTTAGAACGCAAAGAAGGAAATACAAAAAAACAAACAAAAAAAAAAACAAACAATGGAGGGGGGGGTTTGGCCAATACGACATAGCATTATACGTATATGGAGTTCATCAACTACATAAATATGGCAGTAACACTGAGTAATTCATACGGACTATTTACAAAGTTTGTGAAGTGGGGAAATATTACAGTCTGTGCATGGACGACTGATAGAACATATGCCTTCTTAAAAGTCTGGGGGACCGAGTCTAGGAAAAGCCTACACCTCCATCCTTCTGCTTGCCTCCTCTGTTAGACCGGTCAGGACTGACACAACAAACAAAATAAGGCACAATTAATACTTGGACCATTTTCAGGGGAATCTACAGACTTGCAGCTGGCTTGTGAGGCATGTAAACAATTGAGTCGATTGATTAGGACTGCCCTGTCATCTTCCCTTTGTATTCCCGATCACTGATTCAGTCCGTCTGATGTGATTCAAAACAAGTTTCATATGGCGAGGACCTCTGACCCCTCCACCCCCTCCCATCCAAAATAAAGAGGAAACAAAAAAAAAAAAAAGAGAAAAAACAAAACAAAAATTTGCCCTCCCGCCCTGCCCTCCCTCTATGCTACTCAACAAATACAATCACATGGTGACAAACAAAGAAAACTAGTAGTGCATACACTACAAAAAACAGGAAAATGCGACGCCCTGCCAATTGCCTTTGGTTAGGCCACAGCACTGCCCTCTGAACAAGGGGAGACAATGACTTAAACACAAAAAACAAAAGAAAAAAAATAAATCAAATGATTGATTGATAAGCTGTCCGAAGCTGAAGCAGTTTCAGTTGCAATGTGACTAAACCAAAGATAAAAAGAGAGAGAAATCCGCTTCCCCATCCCAGTCCACTGATCATCTCAGACCAATGTGTTTCTCTGACTACCTCGGACCAGCCTCCACCTGTGCCCTGCGGCGACCATGACGACCACACTTTCCCCCTCCCCCAGACAAATGATTAAAATATTTTAGGGTTTTTGTTTCGGATACATCTAATGTCACGAGGCCTCTCGCCGCCCCCAGACGTGTTTGCTGTCGATAAAAAAAAGCTCCTCGAAGGTTTTTGCGGTCAATCGCTTTCTGTTGGTGGTGATCTCTGTGGGATGGAGAGAAGAGGGAGGTCTGGGTGTTTACACTTGAATTCTGCCCTTCCAGAGCAGCCATGTCACCGGGCAGAATCAGGAGTGAAGATTTTGGCCAGTGGGGCAGGAGAAGGGAGTGGCAGATAGGCCAATAGGGCAGGAGGAAATGGAGGAAGTGGTCTAGGGGGGCCTGGGGGGGCCCTGTCACAGCTGTTTGGGGCTCCTGGCTTTGGTCGGAGTGATGGAACCTCTCAGTCGTGTTTCAGGTGGTCCTTGATGTCCTCCTCGTCTGTGTACTCTGACGGCTCGTCGCCCGGCTTCAGTAACCTTCCGACGTAGTCATACTTTTCTAGAAGAAAGTGCAGAACAGATTTAAAGCTCAAACAAAGGGCTGAGTGATCAATAAAATCACCTGACAGACGGCTAACCTACAAGTAACCGGACAATGGAAAAATTGTTTGGCTGGGTTTCCAAGTAAAATGTCAGACAGCTGGTCAGGGTACATTCAATTGTCTTACGTGGTCAATACATTTTGGAGATAAAGGATTGCATGTCTGATAAAGATTTGGCTTTGATTTGCTTCGCTAATTTTCTCTGGATTTATAAATGACTGTAGGGCAGAAACAGAAATCTGGACCTGCATGTCTGCTGGCTGCCCTAAAAGCCACACACACAAAAAGTGACCGTTGAACCCCCGAGGCTGAATCAGCAGACTGGTTTTGGCTGGTAAAAACAAGACATCTGACCCATGTGTGACACAATCAGCAACAGTCCAAAAATCAAAGATGCTCAGTTTTTAGGCTTAGTTTGGGAAGGCTTAAGTGTTTGAGGCTGGAACCAAAATTATTACATTATAATTTGTTTTATGTCAGTAAATTAATCAACTCGTGATTTAAGCTCCCAAACCTCTCTCTCAATACTTAAGCGAATACATTTGCCCTCGATGTCAAGATACAACTTTGGGCTGGAACAGCGCTGAGCGTAAATGACATGCTGTCATCCTCTTATAAGAGTCAATCAACTGCAGTTTGGGATTCACCAACTCAGCCAAAGCTGCTCAGTCCTGCTTTAAAGTGTTATTTAAGCAAGCAGAAGCCCGGCAGTACTTCAGACGAGTTCCAGTCCAAAATTAGACACTAATACAGTAGATCTGAGGTAAATCACACGAGGAAAGTTTTAAAATGACAGACTGTAACAGGATCCAACACTGTGCTGCATGTACAGCGAGCACAGAATAATCCTTGGATTATGACGTGTCAGAAAATGAAGGCCTTTGTTTCCTTCCAGTTTCAGTGCTTCCTGTTGTTAACTGCTCTGCTGAAGATGTGGTGGCGGGAGATATTTTCAGGGGTTTTTATGTTTTTGTTTTTTTGCATGTCTCTTTCAAGTTCACTCCAAAGTTTCTTTCAACTCCAGACAACAAACAAACATTCAGAGCTGAAATGACTTCAAGTCTATGGATAATCAATGAATAACAATAGTATAAATAATTTTGTAGCTTCAAATCCTTCAACACCTCCCTTTCTTAAAAAAAGATTTTAATTAACTGCAGGTTTTTAACTACAGACTGCAAATAGTCCATAGTGAAAATAACTGCTGATATAATTTGACAGTGTACTACTTCTGATCTTTATATCACACACAGTAATTTGTCTGTTTCCAGAGTAAATGAGACACTTTATGGCATCACCGTAGGTGTACGGCAAAAAGCAAAAAATGCCCATATGGCATAAACAGCAGGTCACTTCATTAGCAGATTAATGAGTTATGAAAAGAGCTCTTAGCTACAGCTGCTTCTTCATATTTTCTACAAGAAGGGGCAAACTGAAGCTGCTGACCCATTTGGTCCACTGATGGTTTTTCCACCACTGACTCACCTTTAAAAGCCTAATAAGTCACTAACGAGTATTTAGTGAGGGTCTACTTACATAATGACTGCAAGTAGTGTTTTTTCCCCCCCAAAATGACAGGCCTGAGGGTCCAGTCGAGGAAAAACAAACAAAGCAAAAAAAAAAAACAACTTGCTTTTTTGGACAGTGAAGTAAACTTGAAATCAATACAAACAGAAGATTAAAACTCAGTCAGTGCTGTCTAGCTATTTGGATCCTCACTTAATATGATGGGTGCTGTTGTGAAATCTGAGCAAAATCAATACGAGTGTATTTTCTCTTCATAAGCGTACCCATAAATTGCATCTCCCACTCTCTAACACTCTCCATCTGTACAGCACTGAGATCTGACAAGTCGTCGTACTCGTCCCTCAGGATGTCTTTCTCCAGGCAGAAGGTGGCCAGGCCTCTCGAAGCATCCCGGCCAGCGAAAATGCCATAAGGACCATCTGAGAAACAAACAACAGCAAGAATGAGTAAGAGTTAAAGTACTTTCATATCTCCTTTAACTAATCAAATAACCAACAAAGTGTTTGCGCTCCACTGTGTGTGCAGCGCAAAAGCATCACATGGTTTTACTGAGAATAAGGGAAAGTATACAGATGAAGTTGCAGTAAAGCAACAAGTTAACCTTTTATGATTAACTCAGGCTTGCATCTTGTGACTATAGCAGCTGCTTCACATTAAACGTTTTCAAGAACAGTAAATACGCATGAACGTGTTCATTAAGCTGCTAAATAAATACATTAAAAATAGTTTGTTTTTAAAATCATCCACATTGTAGATGCTGAATGAGCACTACTGATGTTTTTATTAGAGTCTGGAGATAGATTAGTATGATCATATTGTAATCTGAAACTCAATATCAGCAACCTAAGGAGTACATTTCCTGAGTTGCACAAGAGTTTAACTGGGGCTGCAACACTCTGTCAATTAAACAGTTACTCAAGCAGAAATTTAATCATGTCAACAGGCACTTTTCAAGCAGAAATGCCAAACATTCACCCGTTCACACCACTCAAAAGGAATGAGTCCTTCAAACTCTTCTGATTAGAAAGAAAAATCAATCATGCAAATCTTCAGAGTTGCAATGAATAGGCAGTTGTTAGAAAAAGAACGAATTTTTTGTCCTGTAGAAATGTCACAGAAATGACAAGTCTCTGTTGTCACCTATGACAATCTGTTACTCTAAACCCGACCTGCAACAAAACTCACCACATTATTAGCACTGAGGGCTTTAGTCAAACAAACATTGTAATCTAATCAGATCACATCCAGTATTTTCCTACCTTTGTTACAGCCCAGTCTTGTAACATCTGCCAGCAAGATTAATTTTTTATAAGGACATGTGTTACACTAAGGGACTTCTGCTTCTGATATCTGAGTTTATTATCACTCGAAAGGGACCAGTGATATACAGTCTCATAAAACTCCTGAAGTTTTTCTCCACGTTTTGAATCCTTCATCATCTTCCAAGAGGACAATCATCTGACTTGCATGTGAAAACTCTGCAGGCTCATATAACGGTGCAACCCAACACAGATCAATGCTCACTCTGGCACTGCTTAAGAGTTTATGAAGCAGAGCTAATCAGCTCAAAGATAAGGAGTACTCTTTACCTTTCACAACCAACCACGAGAATTAGAGATAAAACTCCAGCCTGCACTTCACACGAAACTTCAGTGTGCAACATAGACATTTACTAGATTTGAATCATGCTGTTTTTTTTCATGTTGACTTCATGTGTAACAAAAAAGAAACGCTCACTGGACCACATTAGTGCCTGAATAAGGCCTGAAAGACAGAGCAACAGCTGTGAGTGACAGCTACAACTGCAGGGATACAAGTGACTTAATATAATTTCTGATTAAAGGGTGGATCTATTTAATGCCACAATGAATGACAAATGCATCAGATCTGACAAGGAAGGTGGTGATGGAACAGCAGAAAACACCACCATTACCAAGTTGCACATCTTTATTCATTTTAATTTATTTAGTTTATGCCTTGTTTTACTTTTCTATCAACTGTTTCTCCAGCATTAAATCCAGTGTGACTAATATACACTACAGTTTATGTCACGGTCCTGCCAGCTCCACTGAGCCTCTGGTAGTGTGTCATAACTTGGTGAGGTGGACAGATTCAGGGCCTGCTTGGCTCGGTCCTCTCAGTATGAAGTAGCAGACTGACACATGAGACTGCTGTTTGAATAATTATAGTTTATTGCAGAGTTGACGGCTGACTCAGCCTAGCCAGAGAAAATGCAGAGTAGCACGTTAGACGGCTGTGGGCCCGTCACATTCGTTTTGTCTAAGTGAAAGACGTGTCATATCTTCTTTTCGTGTTTTGCCAGTCTCGTCCCTATAACTCCATTTAACTTCACACAGTGGCGCCCAAACTTGCTTTTCCCAATCGCAAATAAACATACAGTACGAGTACAGTAGTGCTGAGGTCATTTGAGGTGAAAATATTCATGCAAACTGTCCAGAATTGATGCATTGTGAGTCCCATCACTGTAAACAAGCGACGGGTCCAGTCCAGACACTCGCACATTGTGCACGTCGACAAGCTAACAGGCTAGCGTTAGCAGACTAGCATGCCAAAACGTAATAATCATCTCCCGGCTGCATAACTTTAACCAGAAAGTGTCGCAGGTTTACGGTACATTAATATATATATAAGGTTCAAACGTCTGCAACTTTAGTTGCAGTCACAACCCCAAAAGAAAAGTCGTGCTAGCGGCTAGCTAACAGCTAGCACTCCATTCAAAAACATAGACAAAGCCGAAGAGCTAGGCTAACCCCGACGGTTTGCGCCCAAATTTTGGTTCGGGACAACTCACCCCAAGCAGGGACACCTCAGCTTACGCACCCAATCGTAAAGATTGTCGTTTTCCCACTGCTCACTCACCTTTACCGTAAAACTTTTTCCCGCTGGTCACGTCGAAAACTTTCATGTTGACGGCCATCAGGATGCGGGGGTTCTGGATACCGTCGTACTCCCGCAGCTGCTCCAGAGTGAAGTCCCGTCTCCTCATCTTGGGAAGCGCCGAGGCCTCGTCGCCCTGGGCCGCGTATGAGTATAGCCGTTTGCCCCACCGTCGGTAGACCACCAGACAGACCACCGCTACTAGAACTAAAATACTGATATTCAGCAACATCCCTCCGAGGCCAAGCCCGTCCGACTCCTCCGCTGCCCCCTGCCCACCGCTTGTGTCAACTGGTCCGCTCGAACTGTCTCCATCGTCCGCCATACTGCACGGTTAGCGCCTACCCGCCCCTGGCCAATGCCGCGTTCACGTCCTGTCGGGAACCACTAGTTGAGCGAGGGTTCAGCGTTGCTGCTGCTGCTGCTACGGCTAGGCAAAAATGAAAGCGACTGCTCCACAGGAGCCCCAAGATCTTCAGTCTCCTTGTGTCAGCGGATAGAAAATATGTTTGAAAATAGTACAAAATTATATATATATATATATATATATATATATACATACATACATACATACATACATACATACATACACACACACAAATTATAAGGCAACAGCAGAGTTTGTACAATTTTAATGAGCTTGAAAGTGAATATTTGTTATAATCACCTTTATTTTTCAGTATAGCCTGAACTCTCTTAGGCACCCCCCAAAAAGTTGATTCTGTTCATCTGGACGTAGCGTTTTCAGTGGGAAAAACGTCTTATCACTCTTCTAAGTGACTTCTTCAGTCCCAGCCAACTGCAAGTTTCCCCAACCTTTTAAACAGTACCTTTGCACAATGATTGAAACCAGCCCACTGAATGAACAATGGGCTGTGAGGTCAGTTCTCTCTTAGGCAGCTTTCTTGTCATTTCTTTAAGTAGTCTTCAGGAATAGTTCTCCTGGCTTCTTGAAGAACATTCAAAGCTCATATTTAAATGCTGTATGTCAATAAGCTAGAGATCCAGACTGTGGGGAGGCCAATCCATGACTGTTAGCAGTCAAAACTGAATGGGAAATGATTTCTGACAATTCCTCAATATTGGACTTTCTGACGTTAAGTCACAGGGTGTCTTTGGATTCCTTTGGAGCTGTTCTGTTTTTGCTTTTTCCCATGCACACACTTTTCAGTATGAATTGCTTCTTTAGGCTGTTAAAAGGTGCGAGCTGTGATTTGACAACAAAAACTAGCTTATCAGGATAGGCGACTTGGCAGTGAAAAAAAAAAATAAAAAAAAATGCACAAACCCAATAGAGGTAGGGGAGTCGGAGAGATAAAGTAGGACAGATCACACAAACACAATTTTGTACAATCAGTATTTTATATTTTTTTGCATTTTACAATTCATCAACATGCACTGCTTTATCCTAAAAACACACTCAACACCACACTACCAATAAAACAAATCACTTCTCAAAAATCAAATGAATAATGGCAAAATGATTTTTTATAGTATTTACATTTTTTTCCCGTTAAAGTCAGCTCTAAAACACATTTGAAGTTCATTGGTGAAATAAAAGGAAAGTTAATCATTAAAGTGCTCTAGAGCACCAAGCCTCAAACAAAATATAAACTTCAAGCTAAAATATACTGTAGTTTTATGATGCTAGCTCACACCCATTATTCCAGCAGAAACTTATTTATTTTTTTACATTTCTTTTAAAACATTTTTATTTTATTCAATAGCAAAAAGCAATTAAGAACTGCAATGCTTACCTAAGACTATTCCATCCATCAAATACATGGAAAAATAAAAATAAATTATACTACTTCTGGTTGTAAAATGGGACGTCAAGTGTCCCAAATGAATTTTTGCAGGCTGTAAATTAAACAAAAACGAAAACATTGTAGTTTAGCTGCAATGTCTGTCAGAGAGTAAAAACATTGTTATGGAGCAGCAGCTTTGGTGCGAGTCCTTCACTAATTTTAAGTGCCCCTATTATGGGTTTTTCTTTTTTGGTTTGTCCTCTATCCTTTAGTCTGTAATAGTCCTCACTCCTGATGAACTACTTGAAATGCCTCTTTTACAGTCTAGGCTTTTTTCCATGACTTGTAACAATGTCCACCTTGTAGCTGTAGTCAGTCAACCCCCCCCCCCCAGTTTCCATTAATCCGACAGTATCTGAACATGTTAGCTTCATGTGTGAAAGAGCACCTTTTCACTTCTCAGTAAAATCTCAGACTAAAATCTTACAGGCGTAATGTGACCACACATGAGTAGCGGTCACTTTTAACGGACAGGCACGCACAGGTTATGACTGTGCACGGCGTTAGTGCATCTTTGTGAGTCACTGAGCTCACAGTCAATGCCCTAAACGGCAATAGCATGAACACAACAACATTTGATCTCAGCCACTCCCTTTCTAAATTGCAATAACAATAAACATTTCTCCATGATGAATTTTTGCTATCAGGGCCTGTGTGGGAGCGGTACGAGCTCTCTCAGCAGCACCATGCAGCACAAACACAGACTGATGCCAATGAAAGACAGAGCTGAACATTCACAAGTATGGTTACACTTTGCTAAACATCTCCCCAGAAAAGCAACAGTTCTTTTTAGCAGATTTAATGTGGCTCTTTTGTCATTGTTGTGGAAGAGTATGAAGGAAGCCAGAAGAAAAGAATTCTAAGGGGACCTGAGTGTGAATGACTAACAGCCTGATGAAGCAAGCAAGATTACTATGTGCACTGTGATGTCACCTACAAGTGAGCAAACCCTGGATAATCCTCCTTTCTGAAACGTAGCACGACCAAAATGTACAACAGTGGTTTACCTCATTTAACTAAAAAGTGGAAGATCTCAGTTTCAATTCTGAGAGGAGACACAAATCTCTTTGCGGTCGCTTCAGGAACGGCACTCGGTGTAAAAATCTGTCAAATCAAACATGTGGAACGACCCGCTGTGGTGACACCTTGTGAATGAGTGAGTGAGTGAGTAACTTTATCACCTAATTTTGTATTCAACATGACCCAAAATAAACAACTGACACTGTGAGTTCGTCAGGAAAGTCCTAGAAAGTTGATTATCTTCATTCATCCAAGTGACTTTCTCCGTCCTGGATGAGGGATGAGACATTTTTCCCACAGAAAAAAATGCTACCTCCAGATGAACACATTCAACCTTCTGGGATTTCTTTAACTGGGTGATTGAGGAAAGTGTTTTCACTGGTCAAATCCAAGGGCTCTTTTCCATTAGACTTCTATAGGACCATATGTTTTTGCAGCCACAGGTATCGCCCCCTGGTGGCTATTTAAAACAAATAGTTTTTGCTCTTTTCCTCATAAAGACAACATTTATCTACTTTCATTTTATCCTTAATGACGAGGTCTGATACTTCAGTACATATCAATAAAGACGTGGTTTGATGACCATTACAATAGTTTGCGGGTTTCTGCATAAGCAGAGACCAACCTCACTACCGTCTATTGCACACCCAGTCATCTTGTTCTATAAGCAGGCATGAAATACGATAGGAACCACTCGGCTCCGACAAGAGCATCAAGGGTTACTTCTAGTAGGCTTTAAAGGGGTAAAGAGATAAAACACTTCCACACTGGCTTCACTCTTTAGAGCTAAAAGTTGCATCCTTCTCTTATACTGTCTATGGTTTAGTGTTAGCATGGTGTATGTTACGATCACGCTTGTTTCTTTAACTCTCCATGATCACATGTACTGCATTAATGGAGCCAAATTCCAAGAGACTGTGCTTTTCCGGACAGAAAGGAGCTAAAAGCAGAGCCCTACAGACAGACGGTGCTGCAATAATGGACAGAATGGGGTAAAACATGTAAACCTAATCTAGCAGACCCCCCAAAATAAAATGATAATATGGGCACTTTAAGACTCAACTTTGATTGTCATGATAAAAACAGAAGTTTACATCCTCAGAAAAGAAACAAACAAACCTGCAACTGTTTTCAATTTTAAACACATCTGAATCCCAAATAATCAATTAGGAAGACTTTTAAAAAAGCAGAATGCGGACTATTTTACTTAATGAGAAAACGCCCGACATCCTGCTGTATCAGATTAGTCACACTGTGTGCAGTGTCTGTTATCTTGGCAACTTAGAATCACAGTTTAACAGCCCTATATAGACCAGCGCGGCTTACATATTGTTGAAATCAAAGTATTTGTTGAATAGTTTGGCATCTGAAAAGGCAAAATGCAGGGAATGCATTTATTTTTGTAAACGTTATGAGCTGTCAGGTGAACACATTCAAGCTCGCTGCCTATGCTTGCTTTTAAATGAAATGCACTGATAAAAACAATCAAATTGGATCAACCACGCTCAGTCTCTCTTCACACCCAAGCAGTTTGCCTCTGAAACGAATGAGCGCTGCAGCCGCCCCACTTTGCTTCTTTTCAAACCCACGCTTACGGGAGGGGAGCTTCATTTATTTGGTGCACCACTTTCCTTCTTCCCAGCTCTGGCTTCTGTCTTCTTGCCCTGTGCAGATGTTGTCGCTGCTGCTTTCTGGGCTTTGTCTTTGGGTGTGGTCTGTGCAGCGGCGGAGGCTGAGGCAGACTCAGCTGAAGTGCTGGAGGATTTGGAGGCCTGCGCGGGCTTTGAGGTAGTGTTGGAAGGATGTCTCCGACGCCTCCCTTCATCCCCAGCCGAGGACGAGGTACGCCTCCTCCTGCTGCCATCGTCTCCTATCGGGGGCTGCAGAGAGTCATCACAAGAAAACAAAGCGTAACTACGCGTGGGACAATAGATCACTCACGAGAATTGTTCATTTTTGCTGAGACCAGATGATACAGTTCTATGACTGCAGGCGCAGACTGAGCAGCTCCGAGTCTGTTAGTGTTTCAGTATGAAATAATGATGTTAGAATAATTTCATATGAGGATATGCTAGCTTCTCTTTTCGTTAATAATTCATTTAGCCCAATAAAAGTTGCAGGTAAAGAGCACTCTAGTGTGGAGATAACATGAAGCATCCTTTCAAACTTGTAGCCAGCAGACACTCACCACCACCCTGAAGTCCTCCAAGTTCTTGAACTGCGAGAGGTGTTCCTGCAGCTTCGGATCAATAGGCTGGTTCTTTATCTTTGAATATTTCAAAAAGGCCCAGAACTTCTCTAGTCCATACAGCTGACCTGGAAAGGGAAATGCAAGGAAGAGCAGTTTCATTCAGTGTTGAATTCTAGGTAAAATTCAAATGCCTAAATGTAGGGGACATTTTTCTAGTCAACTTGTATGAAAAGAAGAAAAACAAAGGAGGGCCTAGCAAAAAAAAAAGTTTGGGAACCACTGGATTAACTGGTTTTCCATTCCAATTTTGTACCTCCTAATGTGCATGGTCATTGTCATAGCAATGCGTCCGAGTGTCCTGTGACATAATTAAATACAACATAAATGCTACAATAAAAGTGGACGTCGAGGCAAGGGTGTATCTGTATATATACTCTGTGTCTGTGGCTTTTCATCAGAATCGAGGACCACGCTGGAAAAATGGCGGTTTTGAGTTTCATGAACGAGGCGCTCTCATGATGCCACTGACCAGCCAATTGGTTACATGCAGTCCTCCTGCTTGGATCGCTTGGCTGAGCAGGTACTAAAGAAGTAACAGGTACTATGACCTAATGCAAAACCCTTAAAAAACCGTGGTGAACTGTAGTGAGGCGATCTGAGTAGGTACTAATGCAAAAGGGGCTTAAGAATTGGAGCCCTATTCTAACGCTATGTATAGCGTTTACTGCTACACTGTGAGTAGAGCAGTCACAGGAAATGGAGGGGGAGAAAAAACAGACTTAACAGTGAGATATCAGTTGGGTCTTTAACCTCCTTGCTATGTGGTTCCATCAGATATTTGTTGGGTAAAGACTGCATGTAGGTTTTAGATTTTCATTCTGTATCTGTCGGTATGCAGACATGCTTGCACGCTCAGTGTAGCTTTTTAAACAAGGGCTTCTCTCATTAAATGTGTTGGAAACATGCTGCAGGTAAACTCATTTGTAATCACATTAAAAATTAAAAACTCTCTAAAAGACTCTAAAAGTCTTTGAGTAAAACTGAAGTCAATCTTGACTGCTTGCAAGAATCAGAATCCAAACTAGCCGATTTAAACAGCTCAGATCTACTTTGATCTGAAAGCCAGCTCTTTTAATTTAGTCTGCTAATAACTTGCATTTTCATAAAATTAATATAACAAATACTATTAGTGGTTAGGTAAGAGGGAATACACGCCACATGTACTGTAGCAGAATGTTTTATAAAGATTGGTTGAGTCTAAACAAAAACAACCACAGTTTGTTTGCTTCACTGAGTCAGTGTTGAAATGGACTGAGAGAACTACATTAATGCCCTCTTCTCTTTACACACTTCCACATTAAACTGAGAGGGTCAAGTGAACCAAAGCTAAGTCACATGTTGGCCTTCTTTAGCATTTTTATATTTAATTATATGTAAATACTGAATATATTAATAGAATGTTTAGAATTTTGGTGTTTTTATGAAGCATTTATTAACCCGCTGGGGGTTTACAGCGGGAAGAACGGCAAAAACGGCGTTTTCTACGGACAGCGCTAGCAAACGCTCTCTACTTGCGAGTGAAAAAAGAAAAAGAAAAAACATCCCTTCCCTATTGGTGTTAAAGTTTATAATGTCAGCCAATCAAAAAAATGATATAGCAACATGTGGCACTTGGTTGTTTAGGGAGAAGGGGAGAAGAGTTAGTGTGTAGTTATTGTTTTGTATTGTGTGTCAGTTATACTGCTGAATGTCACATTTGCTCCAAAAAAGCCACTAAAGGCAAATTCTAGTGTAAACGCTGTTCCCACATAGAACTGGACTGATGCACCTCCTGCTGTCAGACCTGCAGGGTTTAGGCCTGTGGTGTTCTCCTCTGTCTTATACTTAACAAAAACTATTTTTTGGACTGGCACAAATAATTTGTGTGACTTCTTATTTGATTGTTCTGTAAATAGTTTTAAATGGTTATATAAAAAACGCCTGAGGCCTTGGCTGCATTTTTAGGTAAATAGTACCATATAACTTTGTTGTTTGCAAAACTTGTGCATAATTTTTTAGAAATGTACAATTTCTATTTGCATTTCAAGTTATGAAAATGATTCGTTAAACATGTTTGTGGGTTTTACAGTAAAAAATAACTTTTTTCTACTCGGATTTTGAATTTTTTGTCTGAATTTAGATCAATTGTGCTAATATAGTATGCCAAAATGAAAACATAACTTCCCACACTCGTACACTCGATCACTGAATATGGGATTTATTCAGAAGAATCTGCTACATTAGTGAAAGCAGCAGCTGACATTTGGGAGAGCCTGTTTACATTTCATGTTTATTACCTTTCTCAAAGTCTCTGAGGGTCTCTTCTTGAAAGTCTTTGAACAGATCTAATCTGAATCTCTTCTCCAAACCGTAGCTGTAGTATCTGAACAGACACTCCAATCCGTACCTGCAGGGACACAACAAACACTTCCTTTCACTCTGAGTTACATGCAAACAAATATCACCGAGCTTCAAACCTTGCTTATAGACGTTAGTGTGTGCACATAATGATGCACTGTGAGAAAATGGCTGGGTGAAAATGCAGCGCTGACAGCGAAGCAGTTGCATCTCCAACATTTCACAACAATGGATTCCATTCTCTTGTGATTTACTTACAGCTGTAATTGAAGCTGTCAGAGGAACCAGACAGACAAGTATACTGGTTTCTGGTTCAGACAGGGTGAGCTCCAGCAGGAAGAGACATTGAGGCTGCTACACTCTTACACTACAGGCACTTTCACTTCAACAGGCAGGGCTGAGCTACCCACGTCTTTAAACAAGAATTTAGGTTTGACTGAGAAGCCCTTTAGAGTCACAACAGAAGCAGTGTTCACCTTTAACCTCATGCTATCGAACAATGACACTGCTTAAACCTGCAGGCGCTCCAATTCTTGAATAACATCAATAAGTCTTTCAATCTGTGGAAGTGGCTTGTTATTCCAGAGTCACTATCACCACTATGTGAGACACAAACACAAAAAACACTTCAGGGCGTTTTTTTAGGGTGTGGTTGTAATTGTGGATAAGTGACACAAACAAAGCAGTCTGTGTTTGCTGTTTGCTTCATTAATGAATGACATTTACTTCTTATCCCTAGGGCACAGACGCAGAGCTCAGGATTTAAATGTCCGCCTCACCTGTAGTTGTCTTTGGCATCTTCTACAGCATACTGTTTGAACTCCTCATACATCTTCCTGTTGAAGTTGTCCCTGAGGAAGAAGGACCAGAACCTGAACAGAGTGTTCATCTCCTGAGATTGGCCGATCCCCAACCGTTTTCGCTCTGAAGGGAAAAATTCAAGAACAGGAAACAGAGAAGGTGACCATTTCATCTTGTTTTCATCTTGCTTTCTCAAAGCTTTGAGTACGTGATGGTGTACTAGAGCTGAGGACTACTTAGAAGCAGTATTTGTGGAGGTTTTTAGAGGTCTCTGTACCATTAAGGCACCGTCGGCGGTACTTGTGGTATCCCTGTTGAGTGAAGCCATTGTCCCTCAGCAGCTCATGGGATGGATGCCAAAATTTGGGCAATGACTGAGGGGTACAGCCGTAACTTCCTGATAGCGGGGCTCCTTCTGATGGAGAGGCATTGGAGCTGCTGTGGAAGGATGGAGGAAAAAAAAAAGATGTTTGAGAGGCAACGGGGAAACATTTAGCTGCCAGTTTATTAGATAAACCTTACAAAAACAAATCTAGACTAACAAAACAAAAAGCAGGATTTTTGTCTCATTTCTGTTTGAAGTGATAATGAGCCAATGACAACAGAACCCCCAAAACAAAGTGTGGAATTAGGCTCGAACGTTCCCCACCAAAAGTTGATTTTTAAAAAAAAAACTTTGTGTAAATCACATTAGCACCAACTTCTTTTCATAAAAAGGATTATACGTCAAGCAGAACAACTGCTTGACATATAATGCAGAATGACTGGCAGGGCGAAACGAGGAAGCGCTCCTTGTGAGTTCTACTTTTTGCTCGTCACCTGTGAGACACCATCAATGCAGCCATAAAAAAGAAAATGTCACGGACATGGCAGCTCATCCGGCTCATGAAACACTTCTCTATTTAGTTCCCACAAAACAACAAACGTGACTTTGACCTGGAGACCCATCAGGTGGCGATTGTAAATGGTAAATTGACTGATTCTTATATAGCGCTTTTCTACTCTCCCGGAGTACTCAAAGCGCTCCATACAACATGCCACATTCACCTATTCACACCCACTCATACAAGCACTTCTAAACACAAGTGCAAACTAAACTACATTCATACTCCGATGAACGCATCGGAGGGCAACCTGGGGTTAGTATCTTGCCCAAGGATATTTGGCATGCAGACTGGGGAAGCCAAGGATCGAACCACCGACCTTCCGATCAGTAGCTGATCTGCTCTACCACCTGAGCCACAGCCACCCCACGTTTGACTCAACTCTGACCGTAGGAGGAGCAGCGACCCTTGTATTGGGATGCTAACTGGTCCGTCGGCCAAATGAGCAAAAAACCAAATTACACTCAAATGAAAAAGTCAGACCTGATGGACGCAGAGCGCGGTCGGTGTTCGCGAGAGTCCATCACCCAGCCTATGTGAGCCTCCTGGGGAGGGTTCGAACTGTGGCTCGTCTTCTTCTTCCTGGGCGTCTGGAACAAACACCAGGACAGGACACTGGTTAAATGAGGCACAGGGCGGCTGTGCTGCCTGACATTTTTAGTTTACTTTGTATGTTTCATGGTTTTATTTTAGTTTAAGGAGTGAGGAATTATATATTTATTCAGTATTTACATATTTGATCTTTTAAACCAATGTGATACCACAAATAGAAAACCGGCAGCCACTGTTTGTATTTGTAGGAGTGGCCACACTCTTACTGTTATGCACATGTGAAAAAAAAGAGTTAGGACAAACAAACAAACAAACAAACAAGGGAAAGGAAAAAGTTTCACCAGCAGGCCTGCTGACAGACATCAATCCATCTGTTGATCTGTAGTCTGGCAGATAAAGAGGAGCTTTGCTACTCCTTGTATGTACGGACACCGAGAGCTTACCTGTCCATCGATGGTGCCGGTCTCCTTCATCACGGGGTAGAAACGTGGTGTCTTGCTGGGGTCCTGGCGTCCGGGGGTGCGAGGGGTTCTGGGGGTCCGGGGTTGGTGAGCTCTGGGCGACTGTGGGACCGTTGTGGGCACAGAACGAGCCAACTCTGCTCCACTGTCTGCTGAGAAGCCCATCATTCCCCCAAAAAGTTATCAATTTATATTTACTGTCAGGTAATTATCTGAATATCTACCATCTTTATGTCTACAATGCACAAAAAAAAGCCCATGATACAAACAAAATCACATCCTACACTAGCACCGCAGTGTGAGAGGGGTGTGGTTTAAACTGCAGAAGGTAGCACACAGGATACTCGCTCATATGAAACCTGCTTCACCACAACTCTACAAACCCCACCTGGCATGGGAAGAGATGGGACTTCCTGGTTTGGGTCAACGGGCGCTTTGGGGGTGAGAGTGTCGAACTCATCTTTACTGATGACGTTCAGCTTCTTGAAGTTCTCCACTTCCTGCTGGGGAGCAGAAATGTGACAAAAGGGGGGGGGGGAAAAGGAAAAAAAGAAGAGTTAGATGACCACTGATCATCACCATTTGCACTCCTTTAACACGGCCTTGAGATCATCTTTTATCCAAGCAGAAAAACAACAATAAATGCTGCACTTTGAACCGAACACAGATAAAACAAATGATCCTGTTGATAAGGTAACAAAAAGCATAAGAGATGAGCTGGAGGCTGATATTTTTTAAGCTCTTAAACAAAGTAATATAATTACTGATCCAACACGAAGCAATTCACTGCAGCCCTGAAAACAATCTTCTTATTTAGTTGATTTCCTAGTGACAAATCTCAATTTTAAGTCAAATTAATCAATAAAAGGATTTCTGCACTTCCCCTCAGATACTACATTTGGCCGTTACAGGCTGTTTAAACTGATAACACTTCACTATGGTGGTAAAAAACACTCACACGCCAGCAGCTGCAGCCATGCAGGCCTGTGTGACACACAGCACATGTGTCGCAGACTTTGTACTTTACACGTCAGCACCAGACAGAGGGGGAAGAAAAATATGCAGGTGGCCTTGGTGCATGTGTGCTCAGGCAAAACATTTCCCACATGCTTTATTTATTGACCAACCCTTGAGCCCATGAATGAGCTGACCCCGTTGGAAACGTCTTCACAGAGCAGCTTGAATAAAGATTCTTATAGTTGATTCTGCTTTTGTGGTTGGCTTCATTTGTAATTTTGGTCACCGTTATACCAGCAAGCTTTCACTTCTGCTCTGATTTTACAGCCCCAGTTTGTTGACAGATGCAGGATTAAATGATTCTTGCTGAGTGTAACAGATATGTTTTTGTCTTTGTGAGTTGTGGACGGCTCTGACGCTGCCAGTGATGAGGTGGCAGTGTGTGAGAGTTCTTGATGTTTAACCTGCTGCTCTAAACTGTTTGGTATTAAAGGTCAACTCCTACTTTCTCCTTTCAGTTCCCCTTTGTAGACCTTCTGACCCAACACTTCTCCACAGCCCGTGCATCAACTCCTCATCGTGCTCCTTCTGTCCTGTTACTAATACTACAGAGACTTTTCTCCACTAATAGACATGTTGACATCAGTTTTTCTTGTAAGTGATTACAGAAAAGTCAATGATAATTTAATGCTCATTTAATTCAAATTTTACATACGCACGCACGCAAATCATAGACCCACTTTCTAACATGCATCTCAAATTTATTTGGAACAGCTGACCTGATAAAATAAGCCTTTCAAACCCCCCTTACGCTCTAGGAAAGTGGCCGTGTCTCTTAATAGGCAAAACATGCTATCAAGAAATGTATCAGTTCACCAAAATAATATTAACAAGCCTACTTCTTGCAAATTACAAACTAAATTACTTTGGCCAGCATGCATTTTATATGGATTTAAGAAAACAATCGCACTTCTAAGCTATTAATTAAGATTTTTTAATGTGTTTCCACATTAAACATCTTCAAATGATTTAAGTCTGCTTCTGTTTTTTCTTCCACTACGAGAACACCCTTCATATGCTGGTAAAAAACAAGCAGACATTTCTATTCTGAATCCATAAAAGTCTCTTTTCACCTACTGATCCACTTCCATGTAACTGAAGGTTGCATCATCTATGCTGATGAATGGGACCCAAAGTGTTTTAAACTGATGATGTGATTTATGGTGACCTGCTACTGACGTTTGGCCATCAACATTATACGATGCTGTAGTGTTGTAAAACCTGAATATACACTGGTGCTGTGCTATAGTTCTGTTCTAATGTAAGGCTTGCATAATGCTGTGTGACCTATAGTCAGAGTTTGTACATGCACTGTATCCACAGAAGAGGCAGCTTTCAAAAGGAGGTCGCTGAGCTCTGGAAGCAACTGTAGTCTGGAGGCTTGTATAGTGGACAGTAAATGGTGCATTTATTTTTGTCCCTCCTCTGCACGGTGTGAGGTTTAACAGCTCTGTCACAATGTCTTCATGTCAAAGTGGCATGAGTGCCAGTAGTGCTTACGCTTTAAAGGAAACCTACAGTTGAAAGCAACCAAGGGCTACCCCAATGCTCCGCAGCATCATTCAATCATATACCGTCTATATATCCACTCTAGTATGTGCAATTGTGTTTCCTGCTGTATAAGAAAGAAATGTAAGACAATGCAACTTCACAATGATCATCACTGAAGAGGTGGTGCAGACAGTAATGGTTATGAGATATGAGCCCTAATGCAACCATAGCAGAGTGCTTTGGTTACAATACAAACATACACAGACTCATTTTTCAGCCCAGCATTAGATTTCTGATCCATCATGTGGCAGTCTGCTGTGTCATCTAGTTAATTTGTTAGTGATTTCCATATCAGTGATCTGATAACAATACAATTTAAAACACAATTTAAAAGAACAATATGGTACATGTATATTGTGCTAAATGTCAGGTGTGGCTGTAACACTGTTATAACTGCTAGAATTAGAACACAATGCATAAAACGCAAAAGTTAAAGCAGGACTTGTGAGCTGTGGAAACACAAGAAAACTCTCCTGGATAAATTCTTCAAAATCAAATCTGGCGGAAACGGAGGATTTGCTGATAATACAAACGTTTATGGTGACTTTCTAAGTCAGCACTTTGGACCAATAAAAACACTTATTTCTTCTTTGACAACTCCTCGCCTATTTAAAAAATATAAAGGCTGGAAGTTAACAGAAGGATGCTGACACAGTTGTTTGTGCCTTTCGGGGTATTTTTGCTCCAACTACCTAACAGTTTATATCAAAGAAGTCTGGGCTCCAGGTTTGCTGAGTCTATCGCTTCTACCCACTGGCTGTGCATACGTAGTATAGCCTGATCTGTATTAACTTCTCAAAGACCCTCCTATTCCACAGAGCAGGGTGGGCGCACTTAGATAGCCTTCAATAATGCATAAATATGTCGAATTCCAAGCCATCAAACATTGTGACAGCGATGGTGACTGAATAACTGGATGGGATGGTGATGGCTTGATGCACACCAGGTTTTCTTACCCTTTAAAATTTGTAAATATTACAATAAAAGTTCTTATTTAATTAATTCTCAGTTTTGGTAACAACCTCATTACAAAGTCCAATTAGACCTTTTGGACTCGAGTGTTAAGTCTAAATAATTTCAGACTATAAAGTTTAAATGTGATCACCATATAAAGCCCACTACACCAGAGAAATTCAGAAGAATTCATCCATGCAACACCAAAACAGGCTTAGCACAAATCCTGGAATGATAATGAGACAGCTAACTTAGCATGATCCAGAGTAAAATCAAGTTAGAGTCAATGTTTCCATGGATGTTACGTTAGAACTGAAATATGCAAACACATACAAAACTTGAGCAATATTCTGTGAATAGCAGCGAGATGCAAAGGCTGGTTTGTTCAGGCATGATTTGCCACGCTGTGTGCTGTACGTGCATGTCTGTACTGGGTGTTTCTTTTCTAGTGTCAGTGCAGTTTTTTTTTTAACCGCTCTCTGGCAGACCTGCTCCAACACGCTACATGGTGACTGTAAGACTTTTTTATTAGCTGTCAGTTCCAAGCAGAAAATGCTGCGTACTGATCTAAAAATGCAGGTCGTCTGTATGTCCAGCAGGTAAAAATAATTTTCCCTATATTTGATCCATACATCATCTTCTAGAAGACAATGACTTTATTTTGATTTTTAAAAAAAAGGGAGTTTGAGTATTTGGTGTGGTATTTCAGTCATCTATAAACTTTTAAAATAGATAAAATATACAGCGCTCACTGATGCTATACAAGTGTATTACAGTCTAGCCTTTAAGACTTTAAAATCCACCATTAACGTAACGCGTACAGTATGATTTTCACGTTCGTCTTACCTTGATGCACTCAATTGGCTCCTCCCCCTTCCACAGGTCCTGTTCGTAGTAGTACAGCCCGTCGTTGATGGCTTTGGCCAGGTCGGCAGTAATTTTAGCTCGGGACTCATGGTTACCTGTCCGATCCCCACCGGGATGCTTACGGATGTAGGGTGGAGTCTGGGTGACGATGAGGATCTTGTTCACATCCTGGTCATCCAGCTCATAGTCCGAGTCGTCCTCATCTAAACAGTCTGTGAACTTGTTCTTCCTGGCCGCCATCTGCTCCATTTCCTCATCGAACATGAAGTCCAGCTCCTCCTGGTCGGGCTCTGCCTGTGGAGGAGGCTGCTGGCTGGGAGGAGGCGTTTTACTATCCCCCTAGACAACACAGTGAATACACAGCCATTAACAAAGGAACAGCCAAGACCTGCTGGAAACGAGGTGTAAACACATAATAAATGTGATTAAGCCATCCAATTATATTAGGCAAACAAACAGTCCAGAGTTATACTGATCCATCATTAATACAATGTTTCTTACACGCATTTCTATTATTAATGTTATAATAAATAACAGAAATACATCTGTGAATAATCCAATTCAGTTCATCAGCATCACCAACTGCACACTCCAAAAACAACCACAAGGTTCATCGCCACCGTCTCTCTAAAGCATAAAATCAGAATTATAACTTTGTGAAGGACTTAGCTGTAACACGGTATAACTAATCCCCTATCGAGTTCATTTGTGAAGTAAAGAAACAGACATGCAATATTTAAGTAAAAAAGAAGCACATGGAAGAAATGGCAGAGGACAAGCTTGGATGAGTGAGTGCTGGAGGAAATACTCAACTGCAGAGGAAAGGCAGTGAGGCTGGAGCGATGTGGAGAGAGAAGAGCCGGCAATGCACACTTCATCACTGACATACTGCCAGGAAAAAGATGGAGGAGATGGGCGAAAGGTGTTGACAGTAAACGCAGAGGAAAGGAGAAGACAAGCATTATGACGTAGTAACAAATGAGAGACAATGGAAGGGATGAACGATGGAAAATATGTTTGAAAACTTTTGATTTAATGAAACCTGGAGAAGGAGTGAAGCATGCGTGTGCCCTTCTAGTTCTGATTGTTATGGCCATAATTTCTACCAGTTACCTTAATAACATACTCAAAATTAAAGCAACCCCAGGCATGAGGGGAGTGGCCCGTTTCACCTTTGTGCACTCACTACCTTTGCTTTTGCAGAGGGCTGCCTATGACGTTTCTCAACCTGGATCCAGGCGTCAGGGTCGGGCTTGGGGGCGAGGGCATCTTTGGAGTCATCTGTGGCCGGTAGAGATTCCTGGCTGGAGGAGCCAGGGTCAGGGGAGTCCCGAGGCTGCACGGGATCAGGAGGAGTCGCCTTCACAGGTGATGAAGCTGAAAACCCCGACACGTAACACAGACACTCAGTCAACCTTGTACAGAGTAAAAAACCAAAAAGCTCAAAGCAACATAAAACTGTGCGTTTAATCTCAATAGCAACAACTCAACAATAACTGATGTTAGAGAAACTGAACTGTTTTTGATGACTAATGGCAGCTTTGTCAGCTTGTTTACAAAGTGTCCATCAAAACCAGTTTTTATGACTTCCAGACAGCGTCATCTTAATTATTAAATTTAAAAAAAAATCATAAATATGGATGTTTAATTTAGCATGGAAAAATAAAAAAAATAAAAATTTGACTGAATTAATCATTCAAGCATGCAGATGATGCTTTTTTTACAGCGTCAACAAATCTCATGATTTCAAAGCCAGTCTGTCTACTGTCTCTCTATCCACTGTGATTTTGTGCTTCTGCAGCCATTGCTCCCAAATATGTAGGCTCATTTAGTAAAATGTTCCAGCAATGTCATGTTTGTGGTGCCTTCCAGCTGCGTTTAATCCACATTTGCTGCTCAACTGAATATTTGGGGCAGTAGGTTGGTGAAAACCGAGTCAAAATAAACTGTGTGTTCATAGTTCCCCCAGTGTCAAAGGGGCCGCTTAGCGGTGCTCTTTAAATAGAACTTAATTTTTGTATAGCAAAGGGACACGACAGGCCAAAGTGCTAACATTCTATATATATGGGGTTTTGGATACACACTATGCATCTACATCATGAGATTTACTGAGAGGATATCATTAGGATACTGACCGGAGTTTGTGGCATTGAGGGTCTGTCGAGGAACAAACTCAGGACAGTTAATGAGCTGGGAGAAGTCGGTGCGAGGGGAACCAACGGTGGTAGGGGTGGGAATCGGCCAACGCTCAGGGTCTGTTTTACAGCGGATCCTTTCATCAACCAGCTCCACCTCTGTGCTGCTCTTCAGAGCCTTCAAAATGCGAGATAGATACCAGAGCCCAGCATTAAAGTCAAGGCATGTAGTTAAGAATATAAGAACTTTTAGTTTAGCATTGATAAAAAAATAAATAATTACACACACACACTTATTTTTAAAACATTTCATTTGTCATGAAAAGTAGCACTCCATGACTTCTCATAGTCCTTCACTGCTACCATCTCTACAAATGTCAAACTTGGCACGATTAGAAGTTAAAAACTAACCGACAAAACAAACACTGATGTGACAAGAAACAAGCTTTACAGCCTGAGCACACGCAGCATTTACACTGGTGATGTGATGCTACCTCAATGATGAGGCTGACGTCAGTGGTGAGGGCCTGCACTCTGTGGAAGCTGGCGATGAGGGAGATGGGGAGGAAACCCTGCGCGTCCATTTTTCTCCTCAGGAAGAAGTCTCGCTCCAGATTGTGGAGGCTAAAGTAGTACTCACTGAAAAGGAAGGACAACATAATACATTTAATCACCAGCACAAACAAAACAAAGTTGTTTAACAGTACGTAAAGGAGCAGATTGCCCATTTTGAAGTATTATAGTGAAGCTGGCAAATTTGTGCCTGTGTCCCTGAGGCTCCATTGATTTCAGGAATCAGGAACTATTCCCAAAGAATTTACAATACTCTGTGTTACAGAAACATTTCAGTCTAGTATTGAGGTAGAAACCTGTAAGTCACCAATACAAAGAAGTATAAAAAATATATATATTAAGAAATCATAATTTCTTTTATAATCCTTACCAAAAAAAAGACATAGTCTGACTTTAGCACCATATCTAGACTGGAAGAGCTCCCTGCTGACTGTCTGTCACACTATTTGAAATCACCATGGCACACTTTAGTGCCCACCCTGCGGGCGGCAAGCAGCCAGAGTAACGTCGGCTGAGTGAGCAGCCTGAATAACGCTGAGTGAGATGAGAAAGGAGAAGACAAGAGTGGCCTCTCTATCCTCCCTCACCCCTTCTTCCTCCCCTTCTCACCCTCTAACAGTTTTTTCCTCAGTCACTCCTGGGTATAATTCATCTCCTGTCCCCTTCAAATCACTCAGACTATATTTAGCATTTCACCTCACCCTCCAGTCTGAACAGCAATGAGGCCAAAAGTGTCAGGCAGACAAGCAGTGGACACTGCCCCCTGCAGGCCACCCTGAACCCAGATCACTGCCTATCATACATGTACTGAGACATCCTCACCCCTCTTCTATAGAAGTTTCTATCTCATCTCTTTCAGACGTTATTTTTGATCACACTGGTATGAAAAATGCACTACAGAAATAAAGACAGACCTTAATGAATTTATGGTCTTAAACTGAGTGACTTTTAAAAGGATACTCGAGGAAATGTTTTGAGGAAATAAGAGAACAACAAAAATCAGAAAACACTTCACTTACTATGTTACACAAGGGAAGGAAGAACAGGAAATTTAGCTTAAACGGTGCCTAAATGTCATTACTGACTATGAAAATGTGATTATTCATATAAAGAGAGACAAACTGAAAAGGAAAATGAATCTGTATGCAATATTTTCTTCAATCATCTGGATGCGTTTCACTGGAACAGCAGCAGACAGAAGTTTAGCATCATCTCAGCAGCAGATCATCACTTTCGTCTCATCGTCCACAGTTCATTCTCGTTAAACCTCCTGTCATATTGTTTTCTTACGTTTAGGTGTTTGCACTGGTTTTCGTTTTGGCTTTTCCGTTTCGTTCAGCACATTCCTTTCAGTTCTGCCACAAACACTGCATCGTATTTCTGTCCATTTTTTTGTTGTTGTGCAATTTTCTGCGTTTTCCGTCCTGATGCTTTGGATTTCACTATGATCTACCCATGCGTGTTCCTCATGTAATCTACCCATTTTGTTTGTAGCTGTTCCAAATTTTAGAGGCAGCAAACATCTTTTGCCACACTCCATGTTGCATTCCCATCTTGAAGCAATACTATTAGTTCAACTAACATGTCTCAGGTTGGGGTGCTAAAATTGGCGAATGGATTGCGCTGCATATTTGGACCTGCTCTGGTATTTGTTTGAGAAATGCAAACTACAAAATGACCTGATTTTTACAACCTTCTACTTAATCCAGAAAAAAATATGTCATTGCTTAAAATAACCAATTTTTTTAAAATTTGAAGTATGCTTCATGAAGCTGGAACATCGAGCTATTAATAGTAAAAAGTAATAAGAGCCTCCATAAGATAGGACAATATTTTTTCCAGGTATTAAATTCTTACATTTGCCGTTTGATGTATTCCTTAAGAAGCTTTTCATCCACCGCGTACATCTGGAATTTGTTGCCATCATTGTAGTAGTAAACCATGTTGGTGCCAAACTCTGCAGGGGCCTGAGCAGAACCATCAGATGACTGAGAGTCTCCAAAGTTGAGCGGGTATTCATATCGCCCTAAAAACAAAAGAACAGAAGGAACAAATAATGGCATATGAAGGAGAGAGAACACTTCAAAAAGCTGGATTTTCTTGTCTTTGACAGAAATTGCATTGCTGATGATTCTGCTTCCAATTTATGTGTGGCAATGAATGAAAAACACTAGTCTGCACCTCGCCCACGACCTCTTCCGCGTCCACGTCCCTTCCCTCTTCCTCGTATTCCTCCACGAACACTCCCACCGTCGCTCCGAATGCTTGCAACATCGTCGCCATAGTCCCGCGGCTCTCTTCGCCAACCTATGAACAGGAAAACATACACTCATGATCAAAGCCTACAACGTCTTCCATGTACCGCTGAAGGGCATTATTAAACTTTTAGATTTAAAATTACTAAGAAGTTGAGTTGAACAAGAAACTCAATGTAAGTAAACTGCTTTTTTATTTAAAAAAACTCGTCTTTAAGTAAATTTAAAGGATTGTAATCAATATTTTGTAACTGTCTAAAGCTTCAATATAAAAACAAGTTGTAAATAAACCCTAATAACAGCCAGATCATCTAAACTAGAAGGACTACTGTCAGCACAGATGATAAAAACATAAAAATGTCCACCAACATCCAGTTAGCTCAACAGCTTTATGACAAGCAGCAGCAGCCTGTTCTCGTTGCAGAGATCTGAAACCTTTTAATATTTGTTTTTATTTGCAGGAAAAATTACAAACATTTGGTTTTGTTGGCAATTTGTATGAGAATAAATGTCAAAGAAGCTTTAAATCATCCATCTGATGCAAGATATTCGCCAAATTTAAAAAAAAAAAAAAGTCATGCTTTCATTGAGCCATGCAGTAGGAAAAAAGCCATGTGGACACTAAAGACAGATGGCAGCTTGCTGAGCAAATGTTAAAAAGATACCAGAGAAATAAAGAGCAAAGCCAGCCTAGCGAAGTGAGGAAGAAAGAAAAAGACTGAAGGCGTGAACAGTAAACAGTGAGCTCGAGGCCACTTACTCCTGGTGCTATCATGCGCCCTGTTATTATGGAGCGTTTGATTAGGCGACGTGAGGTCAGACGAGTCATCGATGGGCTCTGTGTCTGAGCGTGCTGGGCCCCTGCCGGGCGTCTTGGCATCATCATCCCGGGACACTTCCTCCAGCGGCAGAGAAACCCACTTACGTTTGTTACCTAACGATGATTGCACACCGAAAACAAAGCTTGTAGAGTTTTGGTCCAAAAGGGGGGGAATAAAAAAGATCAAATCCAGAAATAAAGCTGCATGGTGACTAAAACTGCAGCGTAAACCTTTCATCATAGCAATGAATGACTACTTAATCATATTCCAGGTTTGTTTAGCAAATAAAGGACTTAAAAGTCTTTATTCTCATGTATAGCTTCTAGGGTTTTTGTACTAATGCTCTGTGTTCAGGTTTTGTAGCCACATAACTGCAAACCATGTGACATTAACTTGTTTGCCATTTTGGATGTGAGACGCTGTAGCTTCAGTATCTAATGCCTCAGTCACACAGGCCTAGAGACTAGTCGGTGTCCAGTTGTGACGTTGTGGCTGTAATGTCAATTCTCCAAGTACGTGTGGTTGCAACCCCCCCCCCAAAAAACCAGGCAGGCATAGCCCATCCACACAGACCCTCACACTGACTGCCTGGTAATGACATTTAGGTTACTGGGACTCAAGGAAACTGTAGCGGACGCGCAGACGCAGAAAGTATGATCCCCACCTGCCAATTACTTTCTAACTGTGGAACACAAAAGTGCAACACAAACCGGGAACAGAGCGTTTGCCTTCAGAGTTTAAGTTGCGCCTCAGTGCTTCAACCAACAGGGTTCAAAAGGCACAGCTTCTACGAGGTTTTCTGTTTCTGATTTGCGTTGCACTTTTTCAAATTTTACTACTGATGGGTTGGCGAGTTTTTACAGACCAGCATGCAAACTATGGACTACTGATCAAAGTAATCAGAGTTAGGTTTTGGGTGTTATTAGGGTGTTAACCGATTTCACCTAGTGACTGCCAGGAAACTCCAAGGACCACTCACCATTGGATCGGAGAATCCACATTATTCCCTTGTGACCGGTGGTTATCAATCATCCAATATGATGAACAACTCTTGCAGATTATGTGCATGCAAGAAAAGGTTAGGATTTTAGAGAAATTTCAACTATAGCTGTTCATGGAGTAGGTATTTGGTCTCTAGGCCTGTGTGACTGGTGCTTTAGCAAATCGATTTCACAACAATGGCAACTGCCATCAATCTCCAGCAAGCTCTAGTCAACTGGATGGGGGAAAAACTGTTTCCCTTGCAACTGGTGGTTGCCACACAGTCACTGGTTTGTCTCTAGGTCTGAGATTTTGTTGCTTCATTTAGCAGCTTTTTGCATCTCTATAGAACATTTGTGTCAATTACTTCTACATAGTTTTGTAAAGTTCTTATTAACAATGTGATTCAGGCATTTTGTTTAATGTTCACTCCTACACTACACTTCAAATTTTAAATTATTAAAGTTTGGCAGCTGATTTAAACGCTATATTAGGTCAAAACATAGTTTAAAAATGTCTTTTCTTTTATTTAGAAACAAAACTTTTCGCTTCTAGTTTAGACATCGAGGAGTTAATGAAGGTGCTTATCTCTGAATGGCTTCCACAAAGATTGGTGCCTGTGATGTTTACAATGTAGGAGCGGATCATTGGAAGAGAAACACGTAAGATAATCACAGCAGAGCATGCACCAGTCTTCACCAGCCAGCAATCACAGAGTTAATACAGTTACAGACATGCTAAAAAATACAAATCATCACAGTCGAGTGAAAAATATGCATCTCCAAATTTGGAACTGAAGAAACATCTGTATGAAAAAAAACCACATTCTGGAGATGAATAACTTCACAAGACGGTGATGAAATGTGTGTGAATCAGAATCAATCAGGATTGTAGCCGCTGTCATTAGCCTTATCCAAACCATTTAAGAGAGAGAGAAAGAGAGAGAGACAAAGCTTCATCTCATCAACGACTTGCTCTCCCATACCTCCTCTCTTCCTCAGGTTGGCACTCTTGGCGTCCTGTCCTGCTTTTGACTCTTCATCTTTGGTCAGCTCTCCCATCGGCTCCACCTGAGCCTCCTGGTTCTCTTTGCTCTCACCTCCATCATGGCTGCTCTCAGATTTTCTCTCCGGTCGCTCTCTTTTCTTCTCCTTATCTCTGCGCAAAGACGGAGGCTTCTTTCCATTGTTGTTGAGGACATTTTGTTGTTGCTAAAATTTTAAAGGGGGGGGAAATACCAGCTGTTAGTCACACCTTTATAGAACAATTTCAATTTTGTGGGCTTTTACTAATATGTTTCCTGCTCTGTGGACTTGAATTCTTTGCACAAGTAAGAAAATATACAATGCATTCTTTTAGATGCAGATCAAGTTTAATCTTGGGGCTTAAAAAAAACTACACTGGCAGAAACAAGCACCTCATTTCCAACACTGTGACAATGACAACATTTTTAATAACTTAAATATTCTTCGTGATGAAAAACACATCAGGTGCTTCTCCAGTTAATCAAACTTTACATTTGAAGATTTTTAAATATTTCCTGATATTTTTAACTTTTCTGAATTCATCAGATCTTGAACTATACTGAAGATTAAGTGCTGGAGAATCAGCAGAGATTGAGGAAAAGGAAAAATCTAGAGTCCCTTTAGTTAGTTATATTTTCACCGCTGTCGCCTGTACCTTACAAAACCTGAAGTAGTTGTTAGAAGAACCTGAGGTGAGTTTAAAAATTTTCACAGTCAACTGAAGACCTGTTTCAGCTTTATCGGGTTCTGAATAATCCCCCCCATCACACATCTGACCATGTGAGATCAAAACCAGAATACCTTTTTACATTTTATAAGACAGCCCCTTTTTAAAAACCTGCACCAACCCTCTGCAAAGCTACACCCTGAACACTTCAGAATGCTTCTAGCGCTCCACCTAGTGAGCAGAAATTAGAAAAATAAATCCATCTTTGACGCGGCTAGTAGAAGCACCAGAAAACAAGCTCTCATTGCTTGTAAAAGAAGTTGCATTCACACATATCATACCTCTTTGGCCAGTTCTCCAGGCGTAGGCCAGTTAGTGATGTCACTGAAGTCACTTGACTGTGAAAGAGGAAGAAAGACTGTCAGGTTTCAAAGGATGATATAATGATCAGGAATCTTTTCATTTGCTTTTTGGGTGAGCAGGTAGCACTGAAGTGCCCAGCATAGAGAAAAAGGGGGTCAGTGCTCTGTGTGTGCGGGGAAAACTGCAAACAACCGTGATAAACACAGTGAGTCAATTTCCACTGCTGAAAATTCCATAAATTTGGGGAAACTGATATGGGATCAAGGTTAGGCAGACAAAGGGTACACACTCCAGAAGTGATGAGTATGGTGCGCAGAAAAAATAAACACAAACTCAAATGCTGATTTCTCTAACCATATCCATTCTACGATATGAAGCGCATCAAACGGAAAGTCAACTAACTTTATCCTAAAGGGATTCAGGCTTTTAAACAACCCCTGCTCTAATGAATGAGTACTGACCGAAAACGCTTCTGTTCCAGTTCATCCCAAATTATTGTTTTTCAGACACGATACGACAAAAGGAGTAGCAGCCATTAGAGGTAACAGATCATAAGCAGAGCAAAAACAAAACACAGAACTCTATTCATATGTAAAGAGTGGTGAACACAGAAACCGAGCGTGCGAGAAATACTATTTAAAGTTATGAAACTACTTGTTACATTTTTCTAAACACATATGAAGGGACCAGGCTTGGTGATTCGATGTATTTAACACCAGTTTGCTTATTATGTGCATGACTACCAGACAACATTCAGTAACTGTGTAGTAATGATAATATGGGGTCCTGTAGAACTGTGACTATGACCCTGATGAGGAAAGGTCTGCAGGTTGCATTATAATTCCCCAGGTTACATAAAAGCCCACAATATGTGGCAAAAGCATGACTAGATAAGATAGTATGTCACACTTTAAGCACATAAACTGGGTATTAAAAACACAGTGTATCAATCCTCAGTGGAATTAAAGATCCACTGAGCGGATGCACTACTAAACGCTTTCCCTGCTTAACAATCATAATATGTATTTTTTTGGTCAATAAACATGACCATTTTATATATGATATTATCTTCATATAATCCAAATCCCTTCTAAATGTGAACTTCAAGTAACTGCAGTGGAAAAACTGGTTGGAAAAGCAAACAAAAACCACAGGTCAGCAGCTTAAACCGGCTAACAGTCAGGCTATCAGCAGATGGTTATTTCCCATTCTAAATGTCAGTACCTACGAAAATCCACAGGCAACGCAATGTGAACATGTGATCATTTTATAGTGGTTTATTTGCCAGGAAGAAAAGACTACAAGCAAAAACATCACTCTTTATATTAGCCGAGACATTCAACAACACTTTGTGGTTACTTTGCTGTGGAAATAATTAGTAAGATTTGAGCAACTATGGACATTAAAGAAAAGGATAGAAACGTAAAAAAAAGGATTACCTTGCTGATTTTTCTCGTTCTGGGCTTGGTGGCGCGGACGACTTTCGGAGCATTTTGCTGATCTGCGGATACACAATCAATAACCGAGAGTGAGGTCATTATGTTTGAGAGACAGGACTAGATCCAAAGGGGTTCAGTCCTTTTCAACTCTCTGAATTTAAGAAGAGCTTTGAGGAAGTTTCCGATTGAGAAAGGTTGCTCAACACTGCAGTTAAAAAGTCAAGTTATCTACTCTTGCATGCGCTGCTCTGCTGTGTTTGAACACCATCGGATATTTCTGTCAGTACAGAAAGAATAAATGTGCTCCCCCCAACGGACTAAGTGACACGACTTGTTGAGGGTGTTTTGTGCACAGGCAGCACCAGCGGTATGTGGCTGCGTCTCTGCAGGCTGCTGTGTCCTGGGAGTGGCCCACTGCAGCCTGACAGCTCCTATCAGCTCGACAGTGGATGGTCAGATTGATAAGAGAAACAGGGCCGAGGCTTCCATATGAATGGGTGTATGCCTGAATGAGCCTTCAGACATCCACCCACGAGACTGGTTGTACAGTGACGCTGTAAAATGATGCCTGTGGTCTTGCAAGAGTCGTGCGCTTAAAATATAGCTCCCTCCTGGTTGCTCTGCGCTCTGACACACATTCACAACTCAAATTTAGCTGAACGGTCTGAACTCAAGAAAGCTGTATTTCAGAGTCGACTGTCACGAGTACGATAAAATAAATGCAATCACTCAGTGACCAATCAGCAGCCTCATGAGTCAATCAAATGAACTGTTGATACTGAACTGATCAACTGATTGTATGTTATAGATAGAAAGGTAATGCATTCAGTTGTGATATCTGATTAACAGAAGCAGAGCTAGAAAACAGATTACAGACAGACTTGTGTTTAATTTTACTCCTCATTGCTGGCCATGAACCCTACATCCTACATATCCCACAACGCCTTGATGGCTTCTTTCAACTAAACTTTTCCTACCTTCTAAACCTCCAAATATCTTAAGCTTTACTACCCCCACCCACACTCATTTTTAATACAAGCTTTCAGCATCAAAGTTGATGTCTTCAGGTTAATTTATTACTAACACTAAGAGGAATCAGTTAAACCTTATGTGTACCATCAGTGGCCTGCTACTTCAATATTGTTATTCGTCAACTAAATGCCTTTTAGCTGTAGCTTTAAATGCACAAAAAGATCACTCTCTTATAAAGCTTAAACTCTTCTGTGCATTTTTAGGGTGTTATTTGATTCTGTATTTTGCCTGAGTATGGGTTTTCTTTCTTCTCATTGTTTTTGTGTGCCCTGTACTGTGTACAGTTATGTGTACTTGTTATGGTTGCCACATTGCATGAGTAAATTAAATAATAAATACGAAACAGATTTTAAGAAATGATCAGCAATCAGGCAAAGAAATTCATGACATAAAAAATGACCCATTTGTGTCACTTTGAAATGAATAGGAATGAAGGAATGTTTAGATTTTTTTTTAATCAATTGACAAATTAAATGTAGCTCCATTTGCAAACCTCACTTTTTTTTTTATCTATTATTTTTTAATATCAAAAATACTTGAAGCTTATCAATGATTTCCAGACTTGGCTCAAGTGACTTATTAAGTCAATTTCTTTTTTTACTAAAACAATACCAGTGATACTGGTATCACTCATAATTGTTCGATTCTTTCAAAAATAAATACAATCATTAGATTACAACCCTGTCCCGTTTTATCTTATCACCTGTTCAGCCACTTTATTCTGATACTTTTACTAGTGACAGTGAGGAGCTGGCTGGCCGGTGGGAGGAACTGCAGACAGCCAGGCCATTGGACATGCAAAACGTGCTGTAGAGCAGCAGGAACAGTTAGCCAGGCTGTCTTGGCGCTTACTTACTTATTTGTTTGTTTTTACAGTGTCAAGCATGTATGCGCGACATTAAGAATGATTACGTCCCACATTCAGGTTTTCGTGTGCTTTCACTTCACAGACACCAGCTCTGACCCTCGATCAAGAGGGGGAAAGCAGCACGAGAGTTAGCTGGTGGTGGCTAAAAGAAGTAGCAGTTGTCAGCAATCAACACGTGGTGCTACGGAGCAATCCGAGCACAGAGGGGGATGGGGCAGTATGCTCCCATCAACATCTCTCGACCGCTCTGACATTTAAGTTATGCACTCCGTTCAACTCTAAATGAGCCTAAATGAGATATGTCAGGGATTTGCAGCAAAGATTAACGTTGATTTCTCTGCAGTGAAGCTGCTAAAATGCTGCAAAGCAAAAAACGTGTATAATAGCTGCGGCTGCAGAGGGAGCTGTGTGGCCAGCTGTTACCATATTGCAATGTTGAATCTGTCTTAATACGTGATTTTTTTCAAATCCATCTCACCTTTGTCTTGAGAGCTAGAGTTGGTGCTGCTGACCGGCACTCTGCCCGTGGTCCTTTTAGTCCACGGGTTGACTTTCGGCGGAGGCGCTTCAACAACTTTCTTCTTCACCGTCTCAACAGCCGAGTCAGCGTTACTACTTTGGTCGTTTTCTTTACAGTTTTCTTTGCTTTCCTTTTCTATATCCGCTGGGCTCTTGGGAGCCCCGGAGTCGTGGCTGTCCGCTAGTTGTTTTTCTAAGACTTTCTGCCCCTGATCTTGTCCTTTGTCCAAGTGAGCACCCTGGGACGTGTTTTGGTTCTTCTCCACCACTCCGCTCGGGCTGGCCGCTGTCAAACCCGAGTCAACCTGAGCACACTCAACCTCTGTGGACATCCTGCTAGTTTCCTAACAGCGCACAGTGTTAAATCCAGTGTGAATTGTTAGTCCTTGCTCTCTTATCCCCAAGAAAAGTCGTGAAAAGCTCAAGGGGTGACCACATCCACAAGTTGAAGTAAACAACTTCTGGGCTGGACCTCGCTAGCCAGCTAGCCAAGTAGCTCTTGGAGCTAAGTCCTAGCTAGCTAGCGACCATGCAGAAGTCAGCGAGCCCGAACTAAACGTTGTTGTTTTTCACTCTAATTGACTGTTTCGTATGAACAAATAATTACCTCTGAGTTTGTAGTTTGTCACCATGTAAACCACTCACACTCTATTCTGTCTCCAACGAGTTTCTGTAACTTTTTCTTTAAAACAAAACTACTACAGCGACCTCCTCTCTGGTTCCAACTCCACGCTACCAGCCAGGAGCTCGTGGAGCTACGCTGTAAACAGTGACTCTGGTGCCCCCAGCGGCTACGTACTGGTAATGCAGCATTTTTTTTATCATTAATTTATGTCACTTTAAAAACGAAATAATATGGAATAAATGTGAAATGTTGTTGGTTTGATCTATTAAATCAAACCATCAAGGGCTTTTTTTTTCAGTGAAAACAATCTACACTTGACACCCTTGTTCAAATATTTATCAAAAAGAACATGAAGGTAAAATGAAAGTAGGTATTATATCTTTAGGAAAACTGTATAATTTCTTTCTTTCTCTCACCGGCATTCCCGTACTTTACTGTTCTGACATAAACTCTATAGCAGGTTTTGTTCAATCTCTTTATTTTGAGTGATTTGATGTCTTTATTTTTTGCCAATTATTTTACAACAACTCATAGTTTTTTAATTATTGGATCGTTTCTGTAGCTCGGTGGGCATTAAACTTCCTGTCCATGTTCCAACTTGTATGAAATGTGCTTCATAAATAAAGTTTGGGTGATTGTTTTCTATTGATCAGGTGACTGTGGAGGCCATTTGATTACAGTAAACTCATTGTCATGATCAAGAAACCCCTTTGAAATCATCTGGGCTTTGTGATATGGCATATTAACATGCTGGAAGCAGGCATCAGAAGATGAGACACTGTGGTCATAAAGGGACGGAAATGCTCAGCAGCAAAACTTGGGCTGTGACACTTAAGCAATGTCCAGTTGGTATTAAGGAGCCCAAAAATGCACACACCACCATCAGTCAGAACCACTGCTGCAGGATGAAATGCTGTAAATGCCTAATTTCTGAGCCTACCATGTGAATATTGCAGCAGAAGTCAAAACTTGTTCTTGTGTGAAAGGAGTGGTTTCTGGTGTGGTCTTCTGCTGCTGTAGGCCATCTGCTTCAAGGTTTTACATGTTGTACATTCAGAGATGCTCTTCTGCATACACATAATCTTTGGTTGGGGCTGCTTTACTATGCATTACTACATCAGTGTGGTGTGACATGGGGACAGTTGATAGTGGCCCTCAGCTCAGTTGTATTATTGGTTGGGCATTTCTCATATTCCTCTTGTCAATGCACAACAGTTTCTCTATTGGCAGTAACGGCATCATTGGCAAACCATTTGGCAGTAGTTTTGGCTATTTAGTTTTGGCTCTGTGATGTAAAAGAAAATTGGCATCTCCATGAAGCACAAAGTGTTCTAAGATCTTCTGGTTGACGGCAGTTTTGAGTTTGGACTTTATAAAACACAATGGACCAACCATCACCAGCATCAAGCAATTGACACAGTACCCCAAATCATCACAGAGTGTGGAAACTTTACACTGGACTTCAAACAGGTTGCATTTTCAGCCTCTCCACTCTTTCCACAGCCTTGAAATGAATTCCAGTTCTTTTTCTCCTTAGCCCAGGTAGGACACTTCTAGCTTTGCTTCTGGTGGCTAGATGATATAAAACTAAATTAATAAGTCAGAAACCAACTGAACTGCTAACACGGATCTTGGTGGATTGAAAGTGAGCAAAAGTTAAGGCCTTGCGTTCACATTTCCTGATTTTTGCATACTCATCACCTGGAAAGAGGAAAAAGACGATGCAGGAGGAGCTGTAACACAGGACGTATGAATGCACTCTCTTCAGAAGCGTTTTCACCTTCAGTGTATGAACGAAGTGTAGCACACAGATGTTGTTTCAATTATGTAGCATGACCAATCTGTCTGCCCTTCACTGTTTCTGTGTGCATTAATAAAAAGTGTCATGTCTTTTCTAATTGCACTGTGCTGTGAATTGAATTGAAAGTTGCCCAGAAAATATAACACCCTATTAACATTGCTACATCATAAAATGCAGATGTAGTTGGGCTAATAAAATAAAAAACAACGACAATAAGTTATAATGCAGTTGAGCCAAAGATCATATTTAACTGAAATTGCTTTAAAATGAAGCGTTGAAGAGAGGTGCTCTTATTTTGTCAAAGGCCTGCTGACTCCACTCCTCTCTCCTCTGCCTGCATCACTGGTGGGAAGTACAAAGGGGGTTAAGGATAGGAGTCAAGGAGAGGACTCCAGTATGTGCAATCTGAGAAATGTGAAAGGACTAAGATAGCCACCTCTGAATGGGCCGGGTAGACTGGCCTGATGCTCCAAGATGCACTGACTGAGCTCCACGTGTCAGGGTCCTGCAAACCAACACAGAAGGCTTTTTTTTTTTTTAAATTTCTCTCGTTTGTGTCTCGAGTACTACAACTTTTCAAGTGAACAAAACTCAAAGTTGTGGGATTCCAATCCCTCTGTCGAGTCTTTATTCTACACAAAAGCTGTCCACCAGGTGGCGTTACATAACACTACTTTTTCCATTCTGTTATGATGTGCTATGAATGTATAATGAACTCAGCACTCTAAGCTGGCTAAATATGCCAGATATTACTATTTGTCATGGTCCTGGCAGGGCTGGGTTTATTTCTCTTCTTTTCCCTCTCTTGTATAGTCAGTGTTACAGTTACAGTGGCTGTAAATTCCTCTCTGTGGAAAGACTCGAGTTGATTCCTTGAGGGGAAACAAAAACTCAGATCCCCACCTGCAAGATTCTTAAGTTCAAAACTCCCCCTCAAACACACTGGAGGCTGTTTTGTTTGCTCTCCCCGCAACCACCACACATAAATATTCAATGCCATGCACCTTTATCAGGCAGTGTAACTGATTTTAATGTTGTTAGGCCACACGTCCTGAATTAGGGTTGAGATATTTATCTGCACGTCTCAGCAGAAAATCAATCCCAGGTCTGCAACATGCCAGGTTGTAGGGCATTTTATGGGCTGAGGGGCAATGTTATTTTATAAGAATGCAGTGAATATTCTCCAAAAGTTGATTCTGTTCATCTGGACGTAGCGTTATCTGCACGCTACGTCCAGATGAACAGAATCAGCTTTTGGAGATTTACTTACCTGGATGATTGAGAATGCATCAAGATGCAGTGAATATTATTTTAAGTTTTTTTTAGTTCACTCATTAATCAGTCACATCATCAGAAAATTGGATTTATTTGTTTGACTGCATACGGGTGTGAAACATAAGGCCCGAGGACCAGAATTGGCTCAGGAATCTGGCCCATTGGATAGAGTCAAAAACTGTAAAGGAGGGCATAAACTTTGGATTTTTAACTGTATTTTCATACCTTTTACAACTTTTCTCTGATAAAGATCTCACACATGGCAATTCATAATATACCAAAGTAATAAATAAACAACATTCCTGTTTTTTCAATTCTTTTTTCTTTTCTTTTTTCTTATTTACAATGAGTTTACATTAAAAAAATCTTTCTGGGCAATGCGCTACCATGAAGTTTCTGTAATTTTGCAAAAGAGTTGTGTAATTTCTTTCATTTACTTCAGCAGCATTTCTTTGTCATTTCGATAACACTTAGATTTACAGCTGAAATTGCACTTTTTCTTATATAATCTATGTCAGGGATTAAACGTGCATTTAAACTTCTTTACACTGACAGAAAGGTGAGTTTCACTCGTTCAAACTCAAAGTGGGCTGACTGTACTGTGTGTGGCCCACGATCTAAAATGAGTTTGACATCCCTTACTTAACCTTTATATTCTTATGATCTAAAATTGTATGTAAGAAAAGTACTACAAATAAAATGCTTAGAAGCAGAAAGATGCTTTTATTCCAAAATCCCGTTGATATATTTGAATTGAAATAATGGCTGGTTATATTTTTCTCCTTTTCCATAAAGGTGCTACATGAAAAAAAAAATGTCCCAGGTTATAAATGGTTAAAATCTAAACTAGTTGAGACCAGACGTGTTAATGAAAAAGGCACCAATTACCACCAGTCGGCACAAATATGTTTAAAAAAGAACATGCATGCATAAAGTAAAGATAACAGTTGTCCTGCTGGTGTCGATGCTTTATTAGTCTTACATAATCTTTTTCAGTGAGTACTGATTAACCTTATCTGATTAACCTTTGCAGTCATTAGTGAAGCCAGAGTGGTCCAGGCAGAGTGATACTCTGCTGAAGATCAATATGTCACCGCAAGCAAATGAAAACATCCGTGTTTTCCGGGTGGTCTTCAGTCCAGCAGATGGTGCGTGAATGCAAACAAAAACTGTGTGAAGTATTAAAAAAGCAAAATGGCCAGCTTTAAAATGTGAACTTATGTAAGAGGACTTTCAGTGTTAAAAATATCCTGTGGCCACAACAGAAAAACTTGAAATCTTCTTATTTAATAATATGTATTTCTTTATTTGTGTACTTAACATGATTAATGTGGATGTTTTCATGCAGTAATATAGTAAATGCAAAATTCATACATCCACTCATTTTCTTAATCGCACATAGAGTTGCAGGGGAGGGCCCGATATATGGCCTAAACGCTGCAAAATCTGAAAAGCAGCCTACAGGACATGCTTTTATTTTTTAATTTGTCACATTAGCTGTAGGTCATATTAATGAATAAATAGATGAATTCCAATATAAGTCAAATAATGGCTATGTTAAGTAACAGTAACATTGTGAGGAATGTTGGAGTTATTGCTGACAGGATATGTCCTTTATCCTGACAGAGGCAGCTTTCAGGCCCTCTTCTGTTGAACCAGCTTCCAGTTTGGACTTTTTGGACACCCTCTCTACTTTTTTTTTTTCTTTTTGCCTGTCCCGTTTGGCTCTTTTGCCATCAGAATTGTTGTCTAAAGGCAAAGAAAGATACCCAACGGATTTTACTTTACCAAATTGACCATCCCAGCCTTGCCATAATGGTCCATTTGATTCACCTTTTATTGTTTATTTTATTTTCACTTACTGAATACGGGACAGACTTGACTGGGGGAAAGAAGGGGAGAAAGAAAGAGGGAAAGAGAAACAGCTGAGAAGAGGGACGGGGGAGAAGGGCAAAAGACAAAAACCAACAGAACGGGCAGAGAAAAAAAATGCATATATCAATCACCTGGATCACCTGCTGAGAAAGAAAAAAGAAAGCAAGCAGAAGAGAACAAGAGTAATAGAATAAACAAC